CCGGAGAAGTGGTGGTGGGTGCCCTGGGCAGAAATCGCCTGTGCAAAACCAGGAAGGGGTGAAACTGCTTTGTACAGAGAACACTGCTTTTGAGTCCCACACAAGCTCAGGCTTGGGGAAGGAATCAGATAAAAAGTTGCAGGATCTCAAGAGTTCCCTGTTTTCCATGTGGGTTGGCAAACAGCACCCACATGGAAATCTTCCGCTTGTAAGCAGTGCCCTGCAAACTTCCCATGCCTGGAGGCGGTGTGTTTCCGATGGGAACATCAGGCCAGAGGTCTCCCCGCAGCCCCCAGCTTGGAGCCATGCTGGCAGCTCCCAGGCCTTCCCTTGGAGCCCGCTCCCTCTCCTGGGGAGTGTGTGAGCATCTGAGCCTATAAATCTCTCCTGCTCTGGGCTTGAGGTTCACAAAGCTGCCAGGAAAGCCTGCCTCTCTCCCTGAAATAGGGGATCAACATCACCTATCTGTCTGTCCATCTCAAAATCTTTCCTTAAGATAGTAGTAGAGGTTGTCTGGGCCAGTCCCAGGAGGTTCTCTCTGCCTGGGTTCTAATTGCTGGGTACCTGGTTCTTCTGTCCTTTACCCCTCTTTTAATTTTTAGCACTTTGGGAGGCTGAGGAGGGCAGATCACCTGAGGTCAGGAGTTCGAGACCTGCCTGGCCAACATGGTGAAACCCTGTCTCTAGAAAAAATGCAAAAATTAGCTGGGCGGGGTGGCATGCGCCGGTAGTCCCAGCTACTCAGGAAGCTCAGGTAGGAGAATTGCTTGAACCCAGGAGGCGGAGGTTGCAGTGAGCTGAGATTGAGCCACTGCACTCCAGCCCAGGTGACAGAGCAAGACTGTCTCAGAAAAAAAAAAAAATTTTTTTTAAACTGGTTTCCCATTTTGTTATGTCCTTGAGTGAATTTCTCCCCCTGGGTGGAAGCTGAAGGTCTCTCCCCAGAATATAATGGATTGTTTTCTTCCTGGTTTTTTTTTTTTTTTTTTTTGAGATGGAGTCTTGCTCTGTCACCCATCTGGGGCAATCTCAGCTCACTGCAAAGTCTCCCTCCCTCCCAGGTTTGAGCAGTTCTTTTGCCTCAGCCTCACGAGTATCTGGAATTACAGGCATGCACTCCATATCTGGCTAATTGTTTTTGTATTTTTAGTAGCGATGGGGGTTCACCATGTTGCCCAGGCTGGTCTCAAACTTTTGACCTCAGGTAACGCACCTGCCTTGGCCTCCCAAAGTGCTGGAATTATATATGTATGAGCCACCGCTCCCAGCCTGTTTTCTTCCTGTGCTTTTCCTGGAAGGAAATGTCCCCAGAATATGAGTGTGGGTGACTTGCGGAGGGTGAAAGAATGCATTGGTGAAAGCAGTCCTTGGAATCAGGCAGACCCTGAGTTTGAATCCCATCTAACCCTTACTAGCTATGTGACTATTAGTCCCTGTGGTTGCCCTAACAATGACCACTAAGGTGGTGGCTTAAGACCACAGGCATTTATTCTCTCACTGTCCTGGAGGTCCAGAGGTCTGAAATCGAGGCATCAGGAGGATTGGTCCTCCTGGGGGCTCTGAGGGAGACTCTGTCCCCTGCCTTCTCCCTGGCTTCTGGTGGCCGCCAGCAGCCCTTGGTGTCCTTGCCTGTGAGTAATGACTCACTCCACCCTCCATCTCCTTCACGTGATGCTCTCCCCGTGTCTCTAATCTCCTCTCTCTCTCTCTCTCTTTTTTCCTTTTCACTCTTGTCGCCCAGGCTGGAGTGTAGTGGCACAATCACGGCTCACTGCAACCTCCGCCTCCCGGATTCAAGCGATTCTCCTGCCTCAGCCTCCCGAGTAGCTGGGATTACAAGTGTATACCACCACACCTGGCTAATTTTTGTATTTTTAGTGGAGATGGGGTTTTTCCCTGTTGGCCAGGCTGGTCTGGAACTCTTGAACTCAAGTGATCTGCCTCCTTGGCTTCAGCCTCCCAAAGTGCTGGGATTACAGGGGTCAGCCACCACTCCCGGCCTGCCTGTTTTTAAATGTGCCACTATGTGAACACACCAGAATTGAAACTCCAGAGTTGACTTGACTAGTCTTTAGGCCTTTTGTCCTGAGGATTTCATTCAACCGGGCTACCCAAACATCCACCTATAATCCAAGGGATGAGGGAGAATTGACTGGAGGTGGGCATAGGATCTGAGGAACCTGCCCATCTCCAATCAGTTCTCTCTCTCTTCAGATTTCAGATGGAAGAAAGACTCATCTCTTTCATCTTGCTCTGGGGTGGGTCAGACCTTCTCTGTGTAATGTAAATCCCCTACCTCTATTTATGGTCACTACTGCCCTCTCTGTCCCACAGTGATACACAGTCATGGCTTTCACCGGTGCCATCCACCCATCCATCCATACATAGATATACATACATACATCTGTCCGTCCATCCATCTATCCATCCATCCCACTCATTCACCCACCCGTCCACTCTATCCTCCCTCCCATTCACCCACTCACCTACCCACTCATCCACCCCCTCATCCTCCCACTCATCCTTCCCTCCTTCCATCCAATCATCCATCCACCCAGCCATATACCAACTCACCTACCCACCTACCTATCCATCTACCTTTCCTTCCTTCCTTCTATCTATCCATCTGTCCATCCATCCATCCTTCCTTCCATCCATCCATCCACTTAGCCACCCAGCCACTCATCCATTTATCCTCCTGTCTCTCTATCCATCTGTCCATCCTTCCATCCAGCCACCTATCTACCTATTCACCCAACCACCCATCCATTTATCCTCCCATCCATTTGCCTCCCTATCCATTCTCCCATCCAGCTACCAGTCTACCCATTCAGCCACCCATCTGTCTACCCATTCATCCATCCATCCATCCACCCACTTATCCTCCTACAAATCTATCCATCCATCCGTTCATCCTTTCTTCCTTTTTTTGATCCACTTATCCATCTACCGTCCTTCCATCCTGCCATCCATCTACTCATCTATCCATTTGTTCATCCATCCTCCATTCATCCATCCATCTTCCTACCCATCTGTCCATCCACCCACCCACCTGTTCACCTACTCATCTACCTATCCACCCACCCATCCACCCTCCCATCCACCGATCAGTTCATCCATCCCCCCACCCATCCATCTAGCTACTCATCTACCCACCCTTCTCTTCACCCATCTACTCTTCCTTCCTTCCATCCATCCAGCCATCCTCCCATCAATCTACCCATCCATCCATCCATCCATCCAACAAGTTTAATTCAGCATCCACTATCTATCTGCCAGGTACTAGAGATAAGATGTTAAACCAAGGCTGGGAGGTTTTTGATGAAATGAAGCTCATGAGCGCTGTGCACTGTGATAGCAGGACTGAAGCCAGGGAGTGGATTTAAGAAATACTTACCACTGCGGCTTTGCCTACCACCAGATATGATGCTGTGATTTCAGCATTATTAGGTGGCCATTGAAAGTGTTAGTAACTGTTCTCAGACCTCTCTTTGGGGAGGAAATGGGTCCTCAGAGCCTGCTCCACCTCAGAGGCCTCTTTAAGAGTAGAAGGTGGATAGGTCTTATCTGCTTAATCATGTCTAATTCTTTGATGCCCTTTGTATCCTTCGGGTTTCTCTGGTGGTAAACAACAGAGACTGATTCTGTCATGTAGTAGAGGAAAGCGATTTGTGGGGGAGTGTGGAGGAGCTCTCGGATGCAGTGGGAAGACTAGGAATCAGGCTTGGAAAATGACAGAAACTAGGGCTGCTTGGGCCTGGGGGCAGACAGGAAGTCCCCCTCAGAGCTCTGTCCACCTGCTGTGCTTCCCTGTCCTTCACTGAGTTTGGAGTTTTAGGCCAGAGAGTCCGACCAATGCAGACTGGAACACATTCTTACCTCTTCATTGAAGGTGCTTATGGGGAAGTCCCACTAAGACTGTACATGGTGGCAGAGGTGACAAAACCTCAAGGACCACAGGATGCTTCTCAAAGAAGAGGCAATGGATGCTGGATTTACAAAACACACAGTACTATATTATAGTTTAAGGAACTGAAGCATGGAGTTTAAGAATATTTGCCCAAGGCCACAGAGCTGAGGAGTGGCTAACTGGGACCCCGATCTGTGTAGACCCCTAATCTGTGTTCTGTCCCTAACCTAATCTGGGTGGGGTGGGCCTCCTGGGACACCCCCAGACCTGATGTGGCTGGATGCTGATGACTCCTGGATCAGTAAGGCTGCAGTGTCTTTCTGGGGCTCCTTCTGGGACTTTGGGGCTGCCCCTTTGGCTCTGCTCTTGGCCCCTGTGGCCTGGGCAAGGAGCCCAGCTGGCCTGTTGTCACCCCCAGTGGGGCCTGTACGAAAGAGCTCTATGTTGATATTTACTTGGAGTGGCTGGCAGATTACTAGAAAAAGTTAAAGATTGTAATCTCAACCCTTTTAGAAGGCCACAAGGTTTTTCTGAGGCCTGCTGAAGGCAGCCGCCTCATTTAACATTAGCGTAGGAGAGAGCTCGAGATGATCAAAGGCCTTCCCAATATAAGTCTGTTTCCCCCGTGTCTGCTCTCTACTCTGTTTACTTAGGTAAATTTTGTGCTGGGTGGTCCTCTCAGGGGAAGATCAAAGAGGGATTACCTGTTAATAGTGTTTACTCTGAGCCCCAAACCAAAAACTTGTATCAGTGATAAAACCATTCTCTTACCCATGTTACTTATCCACAGTGTGTTCACTTAGAACCTCTGTTGTAAACTCTACAGAATAAAAGTGTGGATGAACATGGAGTCTGGGTGGGTTGGTTGCATTTCACCCTCTGAAAGCAGCCAACACCCCCCAGGTCACTGAGATCACTGAACCAGGTGTGACAGTGCATTCATTCATCGTTCGGGGTCAGGGTCTGCCGGCCAGATTCCACAGGTGACCCATGGCCCAGTTTTAGAGGGAGGGCCCCGGGAGGAGCCACGTCCATGCCCTTAGCTCAGAGCTCATTCTAATTCATGGCTCTTTTTTCTTTGTGTTTGCAGATCGGGAGGACCAGTCCATCCTATGCACGTAAGTGGAAGTGCTTTTTATTCTGTTTTGTTTTGTTTTGTTTTGTTTGCGTCGAGATCCAGCCTCTGAGAGAAAAGATCCATGAGTGCAGAGATCTGATTTGTTCACTGTTCCAAGTGCCTTTCCTTATACCTGGCACAGTGTAGATGCTCGTTTAACATTTATGATATATGTTCTTCTGCAGAGGCAGGCAAACTTAAACTCTTTTTTTTTTGAGACGGACTCTTGCTCTGTTGCCCAGGCTGGAGTGCAGTGGTGCGACCTCAGCTCATTGCAACCCCTGCCTCCCAGGTTCAAGTAATTCTCCTGCCTCAGCCTCCTGAGTACCTGGGATTATAGGTGCGTACCACCACACCTGGCTAATTTTTGTATTTTTAGTAGAGACAGGGTTTCACCATGTTGGTCAGGCTGGTCTTGAACTGACCTTGTGATCCGCCCGCCTCGGCCTCCCAAAGTGCTGGCATTACAGATGTGAGCCACGGTGCCTGGCCCAGATTTAAACTCTTAATGACACCTGGTATCATTTGGTTCTATACCTCTCCTCCTTCTAAAAAAACTAGCATTTGTTGATCATGTACTGTGTGCCAGGACGTTAACTATACATTTTATATGCAGAATCTCATCTGATTGCATAACAGCCGTCTTCATTGACAGGGAAGATGTTAAACTCTCACTTCAGTATTTCACAGGTATCGAGCCACTAACACATCAGCGCCGTATTAGGTGACTGGTATCACTGTTTCTTTGAAGACCTAGGTACGTAGAAGATAATAACTCAATTTCAGAATCATTCAGAAAATTTTCACTATTGTATTACATGCAAGTAACAGGTATTTACTTAATATATATCATTGATTCACTGACATTGAACTCATAGCCAACGGCTTTGTGACTGATGCCTGGATGAAGTTTATCTGACGTGTCTGTCTTTTACATAATGGATGCCACAGCCTTATTGTAACTCAGAAACATCAGCCAACACTTTATCACTGTGTGGGGACATTTTTATATGTGTGCTGCCAAAGCAAGCACATCTGAGAGGATATTTTAAGCTGCAAAATAACTAACAAAAAGCACCAATATACAAAAAATGGTGGCACTAAATACACTACAGAAAGGACACTTGTTTGCAGTAGGAGAGTTGAAACTAGAAGGTAGAGCACTTCCTGTCAGCCTTAGCTGGGAACATGTGCATTGGGGGAATCCGGTTTTTTCTGCTCTGTACATGTTTACAAATGACCACAAAAGGACCATGAATATTGATTTGGGGGCTACAAATAGCTTTTAGTAAGTGGGTGAATTTGCAAATACAGAATATGTAAATAATAAGGATAGGCTGTGTATATATATTTATATAAAATAATATATAATATGTACTTTATATATATTTAATATATTTTTCTTATATATATATATATATATATGAATATATATAAATATATTTAAGGTCTAGAAGCAGCTAAAGCTATAATCAACAGGGGTTAGTTAAATAAAATATAGCTTTTCTAGCTAGCCACTACAAAGAGTGAGGTTGATCTACTTATGCTCAGAGAGAACGCTCTTAATGTTGAGTGAAAAACACAAGGGCAAACCAGCATATGCACCATGCAAAAGAGTGGGAATGTGTAAACATACATATGTTTTCTATTTGAATAAACGTTTCTGAAGTGACAATTAAAAACTAGTAATAAGAATTGTAGATGGTGATGGATGCTAGGATGGCAGTGAACTGTACTGAGAGAATATTGAGACAATCCATGATAAGTTTGGGGGTTGATGTAGATAGAAAACCTGGAAACAACAAAACAAAGGCAGTTATAAACTCCAGGAAAAAACAAAAGTTGGGATGGAAGGAGGAGTAACCACACTGGACTAAAGAGGCCAGCTGTGCAAATTTGGATCCAAATCAATATTCATGGTCCATGGTAGTTACTCCATCACAGAATAAGTACCTGTGGTGGAATTGGCTCTGAGGAAAAGGAAGAGAATTAGATGGAACTGAATTCTCCTCTTCCATGGTAGGAATCAAACACTGGACGTTTAACAATGAATAGTCTGGAACTAGAGATACCCTGGTACCTAGATGTGTGAATATAAATGCTAAAACAACCTGCAGACCTGATTTCCTAGCTTTTCCCTTGGAATCACCAACATTCCTTGGCTCTTGGTCCCTTCCTCCATCTTTAAATCCTGCAGCATGGTATCTTTAAATTTCTTTCTCTGGTACCCCTACCTCCCTCTTATAAGGCCCAGGGCCTTTGTGGTTATATTAGCCCCACGTAGATGATCCAAGACAGTCTCCTCAATTCAAGCAAATAGATTCACAGATTCTGAGAATAGGCTATGGACATCTTTGTGGGGCTGTTTTTCAGCTGACCACACAGGCATTTGAGCCCCTAGGAGCCAGGCCCATGTGTGAGCCACATGTCACCTCCCCAGGAACCAAAATAGTGTTGCTCAGTTGCCCTCTGTTGAGTGAATGAATTAAGTGTTGTAACAGAGAGGTGCAGGGAAGAGTAAGACTTTGAGATGGCTTCCTAGCTGCGTGGCTATGCAGGGGTCACTTGACCTCTGTGAGCTGAGCTTATAGAGAGGCCATGAAGATGAAGAGGCCAGCCTGTTCTCATTAGCAGCACCCATGCCATCATCAGGTGCTGCTTCATTTAAAACAGTGCTGTCCAACACAACTTTGTGATAAGCACAAAGTTCACTTAAAATGTTCACTTAAAAGTTCATTTAATTGAGTGCTTTAAAAATGGCAAGTGTATTACAGAACTGAATTTTTGAGATTTTAGTTAATTTAGATAGTAGTTCCTGCCTTGGAGAGAGTGTGATGCTGAAACATTTCTTATCTCTGCCCATTCTTCTGACTCCCCTGCCTCTTCCTAGTTCAGGGTCTCATTACCTCTCTCCAGGGCTTCTGCAGCAATCTCTTAAGCTCCCTGCTCTCTTTGCTTGCTTCCTTCCTTCCATAAATATACATTATAAGAATATTCATTCATTGTTCATTCAGTAAATATTCCTTAGCATGGTGTCATAAAGTGTGGATTTCAGAGCCTAACCCCTGGGGTTTGAATTCCAGGCCCATCATTATCTAGTTGTACGCTCTGGGACACAGATCTGTTTGCTTCTCCGAGCCTCAGTTTCCCCATCTGTAAAATGAGAGCAATAAGTGCCCCACTGGGTTGTTGGAAGGATTAAACAAATCACTACATGTGAAGAATTGAGAAATAGGCCGCTGCCCGATAGTGAGCACTTCATAAGAATTAACTGCTATTGTAGTGAAAGTGATCACTTTTTTTTTTTGAGATGGAGTCTCACTCTATCACCAGGCTGTTGTGCTGTGGTGCAATCTTGGCTCACTGCCATCTCCACCTCCTGGGTTCCTTTGCCTCCCAATTCTCCTGCCTCAACCTCCTGAGTAGCTGGGATTACAGGCTCCTGCCACTGTGCCTGGCTAATGTTTGTATTTTTAGTAGAGACGGGGTTTCACCAACTTGACCAGGCTAGTCTCAAACTCCTGACCTCACTGATCATTATTTTTTTTAAAATCCTTCCTGATAATTTTTTGTGTTTTTAGTAGAGATGGGGTTTCACCATGTTGATCAGGATGGTCTCAATCTCTTGACCTGTAATCCCAGCTACTTAGGAGGCTGAGGCAGGAGAATTGCCTGAACCCAGGAGGCGGAGGTTGCGGTGAGCCGAGATCTTGCCATTGCACTCCAGCCTGGGTAACAAGAGCGAAACTCCATTTAAAAAAAAAAAAAAAATCCTTCCTGCAATCCAGTGTCTATCCCTCATTTTTGTTGTTGTTTATTTTTTGGTTGAGACAGAGTCTCGCTCTGTTGCCCAGGCTGGAATGCAGTAGCATGATCTCAGCTCACTGCACTCCCCCACCTCCTGGGTTCAAGCTATTCTCCTGCCTCAGCCCCCCAAGTAGCTGGGATTATAAGTGTGTTCCATCATGCCTGGCTAATTTTTATATTTCTAGTAGAGATGGGGTTTCACCATGTTGGCCAGCCTAATTTCAAACTCCTGATCTCAGGTGAACCACCCACCTCGGCCTCCCAAAGTGTTGGGATTACAGGTGTGAGCCACCACACCTGGCCCATCCTGCAGTTCCCATTCTCCCTGTACTGGTTCTAAAGCCCCATTGCCCTCCTGAAATGGTTTCCTGCACCCATGAGAATAAAACCCAGATTCCTAACTGTGGTTTGGAAGACTGAGTGTAATCTGCTCTTCTGTCATCACTTCCTGCTGTCTCCCCCCGCCCCCGTCCCTTGTGGCCCTCCAGCCACCCTGAGGGCCATTCTGTCTCATACCTGGGCCCAGCATTTCCCTCCCTTGGACCTCTGTTCCCCCTGCCTGGCCCACCCCTCCCTCCATCCTTCCCACTGTGCTGTTACCGAAACCAGCTCAGTCATGAAGACCCCAACCCAGGCAGTGCTGAAGGAACTGAAGAAACAAACACAAAGATAGAGTACAAAGTGGGATCGGGGGGCTAACAGCCTTCAGAGCTGAGGGCCTCCTGCGAACTCTCTGAACAGATGATTATTATTAACAAGCAAGTGTTCTGTGTTTTCTAAGGCAGCTGGTGCTTGCTCACCACTGATGGATGACAAACCAGAAAGCATTCTCCACAAGGGAGCAATGGAGGCAGGGTCACATATCTTGTGTTTAAAGAATTTGTTTAACTACCATATGATATGCACACGTTGCTTAGTATTTTAGAACGCCCTGAGCAGTTTTCCCCTTGGGCGCCGGCTCAGTTTTCTTTGCTGTCATTCTCAGCAAACAATGCAATCCATCACAAACGTTAGGACTTGTTCCAGCAGTGATCAATGATATCCCCACCACAGACTATATTGATTATTTGTTTGTTTACTTGGCTGTGGTCTGTCTCCATCTCCTGGAATGCAGGGTTAGCAAGCACTTAGCACACTGCCCACACACAACCAGTGCTAGAGAAGTAGGCATTAGCTGACATTAAAAAGGAAATC